GGGCGGTGTCAGAAAGCTTTCATTTCAACAAACTGCAAAGCGCTGGCATATTAAATTTGTAATCATTAAAATATGACTTATTGGGTGAAGGCTGAGCCCATAATCCAGACTGGAAACATTAAACCCCAACCTATAAAGATTAGCACAGAATTAATACTGCTGCATTGAGATTGAAATCTAAATATGTTCGCCATAAATATTTCTGAAGGAGATGAAAAACAATTAGCATAAATACCAAAGAAGGGCAAGAACACCTGTTCTTTTTCAGGGCGATAAGCATTTTATTGTTCTCTATTTAAAATGTAATGACCTGTGTAATTACAGTAATATTACATTGTTATGTAGGGACCTGGAATGTCACACTTTGAAAAGTGTTGTCAAAACAATCAGGGGTGAAGGTGGGGGATGGGAGGACCACTGGGAAGGACCACCATTAACCCTTCACACGCCAGGGTCTCAATCTTTTGTATTAGGAGGGATTACGGTTGTTCGAGTAAGCAAAAAACATCCATTTTCACAAGCCAGAAAGTGAAGTTATTGCCCAGCTAAATAAAACCCCCATGAATAGGGCCCTCTTGGTTTCCTTTAAATGCTGGATTCCAAGTTCAAAAATGAATTCAAGATGCTACTTATTTATTTGTTCAGCCTAGTAGCAAACAGCTCAGCTGAAAAGCAAATAACTGAGGGTAAAAGAAGATGTAAAAGGTCTCACAGGCAAGTCCTTAAGCAGAAACTTCAGACCTGACTGGAATTTTGACCCTATATTCCTATTTCCCGTGTTTGGCAAGAGGAAAAAAGAAATGTAAACTACTTTTCCCTCTCTGCTTTAATACGGTAACAGGATTCTTATCTTTAGTATACAAATGTTACCACAATTCTAATATTTGCAGTTCTATCATTTCCCATCTACTCAACAAGAGCTCTCAATGCATTTTGGCCTTCAAATCTGTCCTTTTAAAAGGCATTCCTATCACTGTGGCAAAGACTACATCAAATCTCTTAAGCCAACATCTTTGTCATTTCAATATAAAATTATTCCGATTAAGTTTCAAGACATCTTCAGCAATGTCAGCATTATTCTTCAGATAAAGTATTATTCACCCTAAGCCGACGGATACTCCTTGGTTCTTTCCATGTTTACACAGAAAAGCAGAAGCAGGGGTTCGGTGAAAGAGTTTGCTTTTTTAAAGGATGTAGCTGCTTCCAGGTACACGGAGAAGTAGCAGAAAAATGAAGCCAACACCACCACCAAGGAGGGGCGGGAGAAGAATAAAGCAAACAGCTAATTTGTCTTTACACCTTGTTCTCCAAACATTCTCTATGAAGCACTAAGAATTTCAGATGAGCATGAAAAGACCGCTATCTTGCCTATAGACTCCTGCGGCAGCTGTATCAGCTGTATCAAATCTGGAATTGCAAGCTGGCCCTCTGATCCAAGACGTCAGGAGTGACACACAACAGCCTCCCATCCTCACTGCCACTGCTCTGCTTAGCGGCCTAAATAAATACCTTTAATTTGGGGGCACTGCAATCTAACCCAGGTAACAGACAGACAGGAGGCAGGGGCGGTGCACACAGGTGTCCCTGGGAGTTTGCCATGCAAATACTAAAACTGCCTACTGAGTTCAGAAATGTCTTCTCAGGCTCAGTCTGATGGCACAGCCCAAGGCCACCCGCTATGTCCACAATTAAAATAACTAGACGCCGTCTATTCCTATAATGCCCACAAAGGGGACAAAACGTTGGAAGCCTTCCTTTTCGCACCGGGAAATCATTTATTTGCCTTTAACAATTTCCCTGTTTCCTAATTACAGCACAACACTAACTGTTCAAGTTTTAGGAGACAGCACGGCCAGACCGCCAGCGGTCACAGACAGGGAGTTCTGCAAAGAGTCTAGGAAGCCAGCAAACCCGCCATCAAAGCTCAATATTCAGATGGCCTTTCAGATGGCTAAGTGGAGTTTAAAATATTACCAGCGAGGCTTCCATCATCATAGGGGGAGGGGGGAGAGGAAGAAATTCTCAGGGTTGCTTTGGAATGTTGTTTGGTCGGGTTGGTTGGTACACAAACCCTCGGATCCTGAAGCCGAATGCCGCCGGTTTAAAATGCCCACAAGCTCCCAAGAAAAATACAACGGGGGCCGGACGGTGCTTCCCCGAGAGCTGCAACCCCACACCCCGGGCCCTGCAGCCTGAAAGATCCGGCCCTGCAAGAGGAGTTCGCGCTGAAATGCTGTTACAGCCTCCCAAGCTTGCAGTGGCCTGGGCGCAGGGGAGGGGGAATAACAATTTCTCTTTCCTAGCCATAAAAAAATGACCGGTCTAGCATGCCCTTGCCATTTTTGCCAGGGCCAAAAGAACAAGTCAAACCTGATAGTTAATATTTTAATGCCTAAAAACACTTGTAGATCGGATCCGTCAAGCCCTCGGCCATGAGCACCGAATTCCCGGCAGTTCAACAGTGGGTGCATTATTTCAAATGGCTATCTCGAGTTACCAAAAAAGAAAACACAAAACTAGTGTGTGTAAATAAGGAGCAGGGGGAATCAAGCCCGAGAAAGTGCAAAATGACAATCCCGGGAAACCGGGCACAAACGTGAAAAGCATGGGTCTAGATTCTTAATGCAGGATTGGGGGAGGAAAGTGGGACCGGGGAAGGGGTTCAGGGCCAGGGCAGGGGGCAGAGGCCGGTAGGGGGAGGGGATGACTCTTACTAACAAATGTCAGGGGTGGGCGCAGAACTCCGCTGCGGGAAGCCCCCCCCTCCTCCTCCGGGTTAGCCAGACACCCCGCACAGTCCTAGAGCCCCCAAAGTTGGGTTGGGTGGCCTGAGATCAGTAGCCCACTCCCTTAAAAGAGAGGTGCCTTTGGCCTTCCCTCACCTTCCGCACCCCCCTTGTGCGCAATATACTCGGGTCTCAGGCCCCTCAGGACCCGAACGGCCTTCTCGGAAGCAACCAGAGCAGATCCTACTATAAATCTCACGGCACCAAAATTCCCTAGAAAAACATCGAGTCCGCTCGGAGGAGGCCATCCCCGCCGCACACAAACCAAGAACCCCGCGTGGTCGGGAAGAGCCGGCAACCAGCGAGCCGGGCAGCCCAGGGCGCTCGCGGCCCTGCGGAGGTGCCAAAGAATGGGCGCCCGGTGCCCCCCAAGTTAGCCAAGGGGCCAGTCTGGGAAGCGTGACCCTCCAGGGGAAAGGGAGAGGATGGCTGAGAGTCTGCAGTCGCCACTAGAAAGCTAAATAAACAGCCGGCCGAAAAGGAAAGCCGAGGCGCTGCTCCAGGGCCCCAGGCTCCGCGCGCTCGCTAGTTCTCAAGTCCAACGCCTGCAGGAAAATCCACTCTCTACCCCGCGCGCCGGGCGCAGCCCGGTCAGCGTCCGCGGCAGCCAAGGGGTTAACCGGGGAAAGCCCAAGACGCCTCAGAAGAGGGAAGGAAGAGTGGGAGAGAGGGAGAAAAGAAAGAGCCACACAGTCATCTTCCCAGGGTGAAGAAACAAACAACACCCCCAAAGGGGAGGGGGAATCAGCGCAAAAAAAGAAAGTTCTCCTGATCCCCCCCCCAACAAAGCCCTGCTTGGAAAGAAAGGTCTCCCCAACATCACGAGGCAGCAAACTGAAAGCAAGAACATGGCGAAGTGCAAACAAATCCCGTCCACAAAAGGCAGAAAAGTTTGGAGAGTTTCGGGC